GCTTCACCCTTGGCTGCTCCCAGCTTTTGTGGCCAGCCCTTTTTTCTGGCAGTGCGGCACCTGACCGTGATTCTTTTTGTTGAACGTCCTTTCAAGCTAAATCATGCCTTAGGCTGTTGGAGACCACAGTGGTCGCTTCGCGCTGCTATGCCGTGTGAGGGTCACAGAAGCTGCCGTGCGAAGCGTCGGAAATAAGTTAAATCATGTCAAATTCAATGGTGTGATGCGCAGGTGATCCGTAGATGGCCTTGTGCTCAACCTCTTTGACAATCAGACCTGTGTGACCAAGCATATCACATCTACCAAGCAACTTCAGACTGGTTGGTTTATTCAACATTTGGCCCTAGGGATGCAGGTACCTCCTTAATTGGAAGGTGTTCGGACCCTCACGTTGCCCGCAGAAAATTTTATCTAATCTCCCTCTCAGAGGGTTGGCAGTGGATCCATAAGTTAAAAAGAGGGCGATTGGCAACTTGGAATTTGCCCAATGTGAGACTTGTAAGAAGGTCCCATGGCTGGAGAACTCTGCGGTTGATCCAGCTGTGTGCTTCAAAAATGGGTAGCAGTCCCGGTGTGGGGCCTCCGGTGTATCCCGATGAACCAGGCGCTGGATATAACATCTTACCTGAATAGGCTGCGTGCAGAATTGGGAGTGCTTTAGCTTAGTACGTGGATGGTGCAACAAGAGCCAACATCGGAAGCTTTGCGAAGTCGCCAAGTGGGCCCATTGAGACGGATGCGAAGATTCAGGAGCTTCAGCGGTAGAACTCGTTTGCTTCTTTGAAATGCGGCCACTGAAAAATGTCAATCTTCCGCTTAAGAATCATCAGCTTTGCTGCCGTGTCGCGACCTCACTTCCTTGCAGACCAGTGGAGCCCAGACAGAACCACATGCTTTTTCACTTGGGACATTTTGGGGGGCCAGAGCACGCAGAAGTTTGAGTGCTCTGGCCCCCCAAATCCAGGACTGTGCTCTCTTGCTCGCAGCGAAAGCGGAGAACGCCTGGCGCTTTTGTCATCCAGACCGCCTGAAGTGTTCGCATCTCCTGAGCATCTGTTCGATGCAGTGCTTCCGCCGTTGGAGCCAAAACAGCTTGCAGACCATCTCACAAGCCAACTGAAGGAGATATATCGCTCAGACTCAAGTCATTTGTAAAGGGTCAGACAAAGTGCTCCAAGTGACTAGCATAGACTGTCCATAGTGGCAGGTTCTTTGTTCACCTTGCTCTGCCTCTCACCTGAAGGAACTTCGTGGATTTGCCTCTCACCTGGCTCCATCTTTTGCGGCTATTCACCCTCGAAATTGACCAGAGAAGGGGCGGTGGTTGGATGATCGAGACTGCGAGGCTTCGCGGTATCGTGCAGATTTGAACAGCGACCCGACTATCAGAGTCCGCGGTGGCTTCTTTTTCACAGAATTTTGCTTGAAAATGCTTGAAATGTCCGATGAACACAGATCTTTGGCCAAAATGTCGTTGAACCGACTCACTCACTCATGTCATGTGTCATCATGTGTCACTATATAGTCACTCACTTTTGGGGGGCTCACCTTTGAAACTTTAGGATGTCCTCGCCCTGCGGGTCGCCGAGACTCCTTGGGATCCGGGTCGCGGTGTCCGATGAAAAACGCTTAAACACCAGTGACACATGCCTGGCCATGGGAGAAGCTCCCTGAAGACATGGCAGACATGGCAGGCTTGAACCAGCAGCTATCTACCTCAAGAGAACACATCGAGCTTCCTGAGTTGCTTTTGTTCGCCGGGCGACGTCCTATCTGATTGCTGAACGACTGCGCCGCCAACCGGACATTGGGTTCGGCTGCCTAGGCTTGCGATGTGTTCGCTGAAAGGTTTGGCTGCCACGCGTTCGCAGCCACGCGTTCGCAGCCACGCGTTCACCTTTCCATTCAACTGGCTTTCCAGGATGGGTTGCAACGACATCTGAAGATCCTTCTTTGAGAAGCCAGAAATGCACAATGTCCATCACAGACTTTACTTGAAGCATGAGGTATGCAGGAGGAAAAGTTCAAGGAATTGCGGCACATTGACGTCCCTGCACATCATGACGAGCGTTTGAACTTGTATATGACCCCAAGGGTCCAGGTCCATCCGATTCGGATATCCTTCGGCCCTAGTTCGGCTCAGGAAGTACGTACTCACCTCCAAGACCATCTGAAAAGGAGGTACCTGGACCCTATAGACAAACGATAACAAATTAGAGTTTTTAGATATTTAGATTGTGCGCTTATGCCTCCGGCTCGAAATGGTCTCCGGCTTCAGTGTGGGAAGAGCCGAGAGTGGGAATCTCGCAGGATTCCCAGCGGGTGGGAGTGGCGTAAGGACAAGACCGGAGACATTTGATTTTGGGTGGCTACCAAACATGTTGTGCATCCGGCCCTTTTAGTCAAAGATGGAATTCCTCGGAATATAGGGTTTGTTTCAAGGTTTGTGTTTGGTCTTTGTTCAATAGAAAGTTGATAGAATATGGCTTTCATATGGGTACAGTTTTTTTTGCGTTATGTTTTTTGCCCATACATCTAATCCCGAGTACCTATTAATAAACACTCTCCAAATAAAAAAAAAAATACACAACGTCCGAAGCCCTAAATTCGGCTTATATGTGTTTTTAAATTACCGCCCTTTCAAACCGCTACTAAACTAGCAACATGGTCGATTTTGGGGGTAGTTTTTTCTTTTTAATTAAAGGTTCCCCCAAAACTCCCTCGTGACATGCCGCGTTTACACCAGCCGGTTTTCCTTCCTCCAATGGCACGGACTCACGCAAACGCACTTGCCTCCGAGGTCGTGCAAAACCGCATGGCACAGCGACATCACCTTTCGAAAGCTTTGGTTGTTAGTCTAATGAAGAACCAGTATTCTAATAAAGGTTTTTGTAGGGGAAAAGGAAGACCCTTCGATCTGGAAGTTTTTTGAATTTTTGATACGAGTTTAATAAAGGATTTTATATATAGAACTTGGATGACTTTTTGGTTTTGAAGCTCTTCCCAGGTGACCCTATTTATTTTGGACCCCCCGATTTCAGGGACCCCCTAATCGAAAAAATGAGACCGAGTTTCTCTTATTAGGGGGGGCCGTGTTTATTAATAGGTGGGAGGTATTAAGTACGCTCATTCCAAACGGGAAATTCTGTCCAAATACGGCCTTCACAGAATCAAACATGTTCATATATACACGTTTCATCAAACAAACATATCACAAATATACAGAAATCGTCCAAAGGCGGACATTCTGCCTATTTGGAAGCTGGTATGGCAAACATGCTCAGATCCCCTAACCATGTCTCAGTCATGTGTTTTTGATCCGGCTTGGGGCCCACCAACCACGTCCATTTCGCGTTCCGGCTTCTCACCACTTACCGGACATCACCAACGGATGCCAGGGTGGATAGGGATAAGGCCGGGACGACGTAGACGGTGGATGAAAAACGCTTTCCACACAGCACTGGAGCACCGGACCCGTGAGGTGGCGATGGAGGCGATGGAGGCGAGAGCTTTGGAAAGGGCGTCACACGTCCCGGATCGCAGCTGCTCAGTCACCCTGTGTCTTCGAGGCTGCGATCTGCTAGGTATACCGCTCGACCTGTGAAAGTACCTTTTGACCAATACGCCCCACTCAGTCACAGGCTGTGGTTGTTCCTATAAACAGCTGTCATGTCATGTCCCACGTTTTCCAGGACGGATCGTTGGCTGGGCGTAGCATCCACGAGGCGGGGTACGTAGGGCGTAGCATCCACCGCTGGTGTGCAGAGGGGTCCGGCTAGCATGATGTTAGCTTCACCAATAGGCCCGGTCCCGGGAGAATTTCGCACAAAAATGCAGACATCAGACTCATGTGTCCTTCCTCTGCAGAAACTGGTCTTGGCACGGTTCGACACTGTGAAGACTGTTTTGGGACAGCGCCACATCATCATCTCCGATAGTGTCCCAGTGGCTATGGGCGATATATGGGTGTTTCATCCGGTTTTTCTATTGTATGTACCTGAAAATACACCCGTTTCACAGTATTTACTTGGAGAGCCTAACTTCTAGGGTCCAGGCGTCTCCACTTGTTCTTGCCAGTCTCCGACCCCAACGGTCCCGAAAACCTCCCGCGTCCGCGACCCGAGTGGCATGGACAATCCTATTGACATGCTGTGCAGAACGGACCTTCAGATCGGACGCATGTTACGTCAGAAATCCCCCTACACCGACAGGTGTCAAGTGAGAAGTTTGATCGGATCCGCAAGGTGATCGGAACAGAGGTTGAAAACAACATTGAACAGTTTTGTTGTTTACAATATATGATAATTCAATCATGAATCAAGATTAACATGTGAGCCAGCTTCCCAGGTCAAGAAGTGAACCCCTCTTAAGCTTCAGAGTGTTTCATTTCTTTTTGGCTGTCATTGTCCAGGTGAAGGATTTGAGTGTGTCAGAGCAACTCTACCTCTACGAGCGCACCAGACGCTTCAAGGAGTGTCGAGAGTGTTTTTCTCGGAGGTTGTTGTGACAGCAGCCGGTCGAAGGGGGGAGCAGTGATGGTTGTTTGTCCTAGACCTCCAACCACATCCTCACAAGATGGGGACTGATCTCCCAAAACCCAGCAGAACAGGTGCTCTAGGTCTCAGAGCAGTTTAGAAACTTTGCACAGTATTTGTAGTGCTTTTGTTGAAGGGTTTCGGCAGCCACCTTCGAAACGGTGATGCTGTTGGAGCCCGGTGGGCGGTGACGGTGGTGATGCTGTTGGAATCCGAACGGAAGATCACATGGACAACGCACAGGTCGTTGGGCGAGGACTCAGCATGCCGGTGCGCATGGCGCATGGCATTGTAACAGCGACTTAGTGACTAAGTGACCTAAGTCACCTGGGATCTCAAAAGGTCACTTTGAAGGTCCTGGAAGGTGTTTTGTCGTAAAACAAACACTGTTTTCTTATGAGCAATTTGCAATTTGTCACCGAAGGGTCTTGACACATGTCTCCAAGCCAAGGGTGTTGTTCTTCCAGCTCAAGTAGTAGGTGGTCGTGAAAGACTGCAATCTGCCATGGCCAGCGGAGCCTGTGGCAGCTTTGTTACGCATTGCGCAGTGCTACTGAGTCTGGGACTTGATAACAGCTAGAGCTAGGTGAGTTGACCGATCGACCTCATAAGGTCCATCTAGTTCCTGAGGATCCCAGCGGCCGCGACAAGCCCATGCTGCGAATCAATCATTGGATCTCCACGACACGACTTGGAGGCCTCAAAAGCATCGAAAGGGCCTGGATAGGTCTAGCAATAGGTTCAAGAGAGCCTCGGATCATTTGGGGATCCACTCATCGACCTTTTCCACGTTCTGTTTGCACTCTAGCATGACCTGACGCAAAATCAGGCCCCATGTTGAAAGGTACTGAGACTCTATAGGTGGTTGTTTTGAATTTTTCTGTAGACAAGATCTCCTCCTTCAGGGCGTATCCCATTTCTTCATTTCGACATAGGTCTGGCATATATTGGCTCTCTGAGGTTACCTCCCATTTCGGGAGGTAGCTGCCACTGATTTTCGGGGTCCTCAGCTTGGTTTTCGAAAGCAAATCCATTTGCCAGTTCGAGCAGATCTGAGAGTTGATCTGAGAAGGTACGACTGGATCCCCTCGAGGTGGGCAGAGGTTGACGGTTGACTCCAGGTACCTCCAAGAAACGAGAAGAGGGTCGACTCCAGGTCGAACGGATCGAGAACCTTGGGGCCAGGACCTAGAAACGGATGGAGTGGACCCTTGGGTTGAGGTCAATGTCTGAGTCTCCAGGTAGATCTGAGAGGTTTCGGGGGTCGGTTCGATGTGCTGAGCGACCTGAGAGACCACGGCCCAGGAGTTGTTTCTGGATCCCTAGTGGTGCAGAGAACCTGGCGCAGATTAGCCACTTGGGCGACATGAGGAAAAACACCAGAGTGTTGGATCCGGACGAAGTGCCAGTGCCCTGGTGAACATCCCCACGGACTGGTGAATGGTGAAGATATCCAGATCTTCAAACGATTCAGAATGGCATGAGGAGGTGAAGACATATATGACAACATCTTCAAGCAGCACCGTAATGGCAGTTTTTTGTCCTGAAAAGACTATACTGCTTGTGTCGTTTCGAAGATCAAGGTATATGATGTATATATATATATATATGATGAAGATATTTGCAACCAGTCCACATGATTCTCCCTGGTGGTGCTTTGGTCCCGTCCTGGTAAACTCATGAAAACATGTTTGAAAGACATCAAAGACATCCAAAGAAACTCACTTCATCTCACTTCCATAAATACTACACGATTACCAAAAGAAACACAGTTGATTTATGTTGAGTGGCAACAATAAAAACACGAAGAAAAATCATCAAGTTTCCATGATTCATATACCCTAGGGCTCCAACCATATCCTCAGGTTCGGTGGTTAGACCCCCTGGCACCCACCCCAACCATCTTCTCAGGAGGTGGTTGGAGTCCTAGGGTGAATTGGATTTCTGTGGGTCCTATGGGCCCTGAGCTCTTCACCATCTCCACTGAAGCCACGAAGCCTCACGAAGCCACAGACCAGGTGACCTCTTTCAGAAGGCCAAAGAAGAGAAGAAGCTGACCTTGCTGATGCACGGCCAAGATGGAAAAGGTGTGGACGGAACTCATAGAACATGACCGAATAGGCCCCAAAATAAACACAAATAGCAGATAGAAAAGTGGATTCCCACTAAAAATGTATTGGAAAGAGTTTCTATCTATTTGGGACCCCTATAGGCATGCTTTGGATGCTCAAGATGTTGTCTCTCCAAGCTGTGGATGAATCGGTGACTTGTCATGATATCCAGGCCTTTTTTGACTACCTTCGAAAGTGACCTCTTTAGGGGCTACATGGCCTCACTCTGGATCTCAAGGACGGTCACTTTTGAAGCTTCAAAAGGTTCTAGCTGTCTTGCCAGCCTGAATATGTCAAATGCTATAAGAGCCTCGAGTAGGTGTTCTTCTGGAGGGCTCCCCCAAAAGCCGCCCACAGGCCCAGCCAACTTCGACCATGTTGAATCAATTACCCAATGACCATCCTGGACACTTCGAAAGCGGAAACCCGCGATCACTTCAGGTCAGGAAGCTGGTGCTTGGGCCGATTTGCACATAGAATTCTGGGAGATTCCCCTTGATTCTCACTTTAGGAAAGCCTGGTCCCGCCGACCGTTCGTCCCGGAGCTGGGACATGACTCCAGGTATAATATTGAGACTGCCCCAAAATATGTCCCCGTCCAGGGGCCCTACATGGCCCCACACTCATTTTGCCTTTTGGTTTTGCTGCCTTGCTCACTTTGGACTTCTTCCTCGGGAGCGATCCGTCGAATTTCCTCGGAACATGGGTACTTGATACAGTGCAGACGTGCTTGTTTGATCTTGTTTGTATTCATGGTCAGTAATGAAACTGTTCAACAGAAAAGGTATGGATGGGGTCATGTCTCATGATTTTCTAGGGTCATTACGAGGGAAGTTCGGTCCAGGTATCTTCAATGGAAGAGTTTGATGCTCCAAGTCTAGGCAAGTAAAATTCCCAAGCAGAGTGCCTGGCCAAAAGTGTCAGCCATAGTAAGTCTGTTCTGTCGTTTCAAGAGAATTCACTTGATTGCCAAGCAAAACTCCAAATAAAGCTTCAGTTGCAACTGGCTCACAGGTTACTTGTTCAATGCTCCAATGCTCCGAATGCTCCGCTGGCACCACCCGTGTCGTTCTGTCGTGTCTTCAGTTGTCAGGAACGTGGAGGAGACGGTGCAAGCCCCACCGGCTGTGGCTGGCGAACGGGATCGAGTGACCTGTAGAGGCTGCGATTGCTATCACCAGTGGATGGGAGACCTGGCAATCGACTGGCACAGGGAGGGCTGGGGCAGGGCAGCGAGCTGGAACGTCCCTATTTGGGGACTGGAAGAGTTCTGAGCCATCAGAGCCTCCTATTTGGGGGTGGTTAAATTCATGGACCCCCCGAATCACGCTCCTCATAGACTACATTCAACCCACTTATGATCAATCCATCTTATTCACATGGAGTGGCTTGGCTTGGCTCCCTCCAAAAACAGGCGGGAGGCTCAGAACATCTCGAAACCATGTCCATTGCAAAGGCCAAGTAGCAAAAGCGAATTCTCGGAGGGACTCCTGACTCCTAATGCCCTAGCATCCAGATACCGATTGAAAAGGTGCTTCGACCCTCCAAGCCTATACATAAAAAGAGTCTCCAAAAATCTTGAGAAGAGTGTAATTAATGTGGATCCCTATAGACCTAGCCTATAGGGATGTCGGATTCATCACCCCCCCGAATGTGCCCAGCTTCTTCGTGACTCGTGACCAATGGAGTCCCATCTTTCGTGACCTGACGGAAGAACCGGGCCCCTCGTCAGAGGGCTTGACACTCCAAATGGGGAAGGGTTGATTGATCAACCGGCATGGTTTCTCAAAGTAGAAAATAAAGAACAGGTACCAGCACCTGGGTTTATGGGGGGTCATGTCCCATTAGCTCAGGTGCTTGAAGTCGGGTCCAGGTGGTTCTTCCGTTCGTGACCTTTTTGAGATCCCATATATGGAGTGTTTGGGCTTGGAGGGGAAGTGAATTACTCAGGACAAGCTGTGGAAGGGTGATGTTGTTGTCACATCTTGTAGGGTGCAAAATGGAGGGTGCAGGTATTTCCTCCCGCTGACATGTGACATCGTCTTGGTGTTTTGTATAAACTATACAAAACCACTAAATGGATCTAATTGCTGTTCTTGTTCTTTCTTCGGCCCAGTTTCCCAAGGACAAGACTATGCAGGCCATTTGGGCCACGGGTTCCCAGAACCGTGGCCCTTGGACCTGGACCTGGACCTGACGAAAAGAGCCGGAGCAGACCGGATCCTCCAGGAAGGGCCCATTGGTTTGCATGGACCTGTCGGCGAAATCCAAGCTCTGAATGGGTTTCCTCCGATGGTTAAAGCATGTTAAAAACATATCAAGGGAAAACCATGTGGAGACACTGCTCAAAAAAGACCAATTGCATCGGCCGCCGCACAAAAAGGGCCGCCTCTTCGGTCCCCTTTTTGCACTTCATAACCCAGACACGACCTGTTTGGGACCTGCCAGTCCGGACTACGAAATGGCCAGGGGTGGTTGAAGTTGGGGTCAATGGGGCGGCATATATGGTTATGGACCATGGCCGCCTCTTTGGGTGAAAATGGTAACTGAGAGTATAGAAAAGATCTCGGATGGTTGGAATTGGAGACCAGTGGAGACATGTGGAGACATCATGGCTCACTCAGAGTGATCATCATGCTTTGGAGCCGATCTTCCTTCCGAAACAAGAGCTCTTTTTTACGGAGAAACTCCATGGGTTTGAATCATGTGGTTGACTCCATCAACGTGTTTTTCTTCCTGGAGCTCGGTTTGGACCTGAACGAAGATGGGACATGATCCTATATACTATACATTACTATACCCTATAGGATTCCTGTCCCTGATTTCAGGGTCTTTGACCAAGCAACCATTGTTTCGCTAAGGATTTTGCACTAACCAGGTCGTTCCCATCGTTTCAACTGGTCGTTCCAAACAGCTCGGCCGATCCAAACAGCTCGGTCGTCTCCGGTCTGCGCAGGCCTGACCTATTGCACGGAGTTCAACGAAGCCTCCGAGGACCGGTGGATGCGCGATGGGATGCGAGGAGTGGGATGCGCGATGGTGGCTTTCAGAGTAGCCAACTGACCCAGTCTACCTTCGAAAATGGGACACGAACCTATAAAGAGCTGAACCAAAACAGGTACCGACTGGACTCATGTTACATGAGTTCCGAGATACGAACGGGTTGACTCCAAGTAGATGGCAGTCTTTTCTTTGCCTGGGAGGTCTCCCTACTTTGAGCTCCACCCTGATATACCTGCAGTCTCAGTTCGTACTTTGGAACATGGGTACAATCGTGTCAGCCTCTGCTTTTTTAGGGACATGTCCCATTTTCTAGTGGGGACCGGTATATAGCTGCTGGCTGTTTTTAGGAGACTCTGACATCCCGCATTCGGACAATTGCGCATCATGGCACATGACATGTTTGGGTTTTGGTGATCATGGCATGAAGATCAGCCGCCCTGGTTCTTCAGCCCCCCGTGTTCAGGTCACCTGAGCCGTCGACTCCGGAAGCAGCCTCGTTCGGTCACGAAAAAAGGGTTTAATTCAGACGATCTGACCAGAGGACCTGGTCCGAGGCTTTTTGTTGGCTTGACTGGTTTTCTATGTATACTATAAAGCGTCAGGGCTTCCATCAGGTGCTGATTCCGAGACCAGGTCCTGAGGGCCCTGGACATTTGCTGCTTTTGATCCTGAAAGACTTTGGGGGAGCCAAACCCTGCATGACTCTTGGAATTGAAGATTCTGGGAAGATTGCTATGTTTTGGTGTTGAACAAGGTATTATAATAAGATGTATATAGAGAAATTGCCATTGACCTTGCATGGCCTTGCGGTTTTGTAATTCAACTATAATCCCAGAACCCAGAACCCTAGATGATCCCATCCAAAACCTTCTACAGATGGTTTGAATGAACATCGGTGCATGGCCAGGCGAGCTCACAGATGCCCAACTATCGATGCTTGGTGCACGACTCCCATTGTGAAGGCGTCTCTGAGGGCAAGTGTGCCCCTGGTTGCCCCAGAGCCTTGGATCGGATTGGAACGAACTCATCCAGCGAGGGCGTGTCGTGTCGATATTTCGATGCATGTCGGCGTTGCCTTTATTAGAATTGCTCATGTGATTCAGATTCTGGCCACCTCCGTTCTTGTTTCTACATGGAACGGCACTGGGGCAGCCCCTGGTGAGCCTGCAAGGCTGAAAGATGTTGTTCTTTCAAGTAGAACCTCCGTCTGCCGGGCCATGCGGCGCTTTGTGGCGCAAGGAGCAAAGGGCAGATGGGCCTACACCAAGAGACTCCCCTTAAGCCTTCACGCCTTCCCTGACTAGCTTGTGTGAGCCGGAGGTAGCAGTTGGGAGCCGGGATGATCTATCTTCCCCATTCAACGGGAGCTCCTTCGGTTGCTGGACGTTGGTATATATCCCCTTGATCCATCTTCCTCATTCAACGGGAGCTCCTTCGGTTGCTGAGGATACACCACCAATGGCTGTGAATGTGCGCGAAGTTGGGTCTTGGAAGGTCATGACGAGTGCCATGACTCTTGCTGCACTCCCACAGGCGCAGGAAATGGAGCGGCCGGAGGGGCCGGGTCGTTTGCAAAGCGGAGACCATTTTGGTGGCGATGTGAAAGCTGTTGCCACGAGATCTGTTTGTTGTTCTTGAATTCAGAGCTAGATGAAGGCGTTAGCATTCTTACGACATGATTCTGAATGATTTGTTGGAAACAGTGCCGAAGGTCCGGAAATGGCTTACTGTAGTTGTTTGATTTTCTCCCCCTGCTTTGCCCGTGAAGGTTCAGGACTCGGCTAGGATTGCAGCTTCATGTGGAAATTCCGAGCAAAGGTCGTAGGTCCGGTCAGAGTAGGATATCCAACAATCCCAGACACGACCCATGGGACTGCCATAGGACTGCCGCCCCATTGACCCCCCTGGCACCACCCCAACTGATCGGTAAATATGCCAGTCCCATGGGTCGTGTCTGGGAATGTAAGCTTCTGGTGAGACTCAGCTCCTTTCTTCAGACATGTCGAGAGGCTCGATCGCCTAGAGGCTCGATCTCCGGCTCCATGAGGCTCTCTTTCTGTTGAGAGCTCCGCACCGTTCCGCGCGTTCCTTCCGCGCCGAGACCTCGACCGTTCCGTTCTCCCGAGGCGAAAGCTCGTGGTGCATGGTGACGGATCCCACGTGTCAAGGATTGGCCTGGGGACCTTGCAGCGCCGAGAGCAAGAATCCCCACCCCCACGTGCCTGGGCTCGGTGGGAGCCGGTGGTTGGTTCTTCGAAGAGGGTGGATTGGGCTGATTGGCATGACATTGGGTTCAGAGGATAAAACATGATATAAAACAATTTATATACAAAAAGTATCACGTTTTGGACCTGAAGGGTCTAGGACAGGAGACATCATCAATAGCTTCGGGATCTCCTGCGAAAAAATGCGAAATATATATATATATAGACCCTAGGGCTCCAACCACCTCCTGAGAAGGTGGTTGGGGTGGGTGCCAGGGGGGTCTAACCACCGAACCTGAGGATATGGGACAGGAGCCCTAGGGAGAATACTTAGAATATATGGTATTTGCGTTTGTAGACCTAGGATCGCACGATCGCCGCACCCGACACTCCACTCCGGTGTCTCCTTACACGTCTCTCCTCGACGTCTCGAACGTCGTCGAGACCGACCCTGGTGACACCGGCGGCTGGGACCCAGCGGTCCGCTTGAGAGTCTTGAGAGTCTCGGTGGGACCGACTTCAGTGTCAGTCATCCCTTCCACCTATTCAAAGAAACATGTGACTAGGCCTTCCCCCCCAGCTATTTAAGGGTTTCCGACGTGGTGTTTTGGTTTTGTTTTTTTTCTGTTGTTCATTTGGGGAGTGTTGATTAGTAGGTACTCGGGATTAATAAGAGAGCAACATATGTTGCTTTCAACATGACATCATAACCAATTAACATCAACTATGTGAGAAGGTACGACTGGGCCCTTCACAACTCACCGACATAAAAGGGTCGAACACATCATTTGATGTTGGGCATATATACTTATCCTACGCGGTGAATCCAGTAACCAAGTGTATCCATAATATCCATACACTATAGTGGTTCCAAAAGACAATTTTGTCTCAGATCATCATCAATTTGCTTGCTCAGTCCTAACAAAACCGCTTCTCCGGTTTTCTTGAAACAGCGTAGGCGACTGTGTTGGTTTTCCTGTCGCCGTTTCGTGTTGGAATCCCGCTCCGGTCCGCCCGTTGGGTGCCGCGGAAACCAGGTGCGGAAAACCGCCAAGGGCTGCAAGTGCTCCAACGGGCTGCTGGGTGGCAGAACATGAAAGTGCGAGGAAGAGGATGGGGGGAAGAGGATGTGTATGAAGGTGGCGGGCCCCTTCGCCCTGCATGCAAGTCTTGCTCATGGGCAGCAGAATCCCAAGGATTCTTGGGGGATAGGCCACGAATTTCTGCTGAGGTTTGATAACCACTCAGGCAGGAGTTCGAGCGCCTCTATGAGTTGTAAAGTGTTTGTTTACACATAATTATATAAGTATTTTTGTTGGCATCAACTGAAGTTAATGACCATGAGCTCATTCGAGGATGACACGTACCTGGACCCCTCGAGACGAGCCCTAGACAATGGGACCTGACATGACCTGACCCTATAGAAAAAGGTACTTGTACAATTTTGCAAAGTACTCATGTTCCGAGGCACTGAAAGAATATGAAAGAATTATATGATTCCAGCTGTAGCCCAGCGGATGTAGCTGATATCGGTGCTTTTGCAGAGGTCCCCAATAGACTAATTCACACACTCCTTATGGACCTTTATTGGACACCCATTGGATGATCCTGAATCATGTTTGTTTTTGTTCTATGCCATACCTGTATTCCGAGGGAATGGGTGATGGTGGTGATGGTTCTGGCGGTGAGAATCGAAGAACCAGCAGGTCTGTGCCCCCGTTTGAGTTCGTAAGCCCAAGGTGGAGCGTGAAGGTTGGCGAGGCCAGACTCGAAGCGACTCGAAGGGTTTTTGGGAGTTTCCAGACACCGAGCGAAAAACAAGTCGCTCCGCCCCACCAGTGGGGCGGTGCTTTCCCCTTGAACGACCGATTCTGACACCGGACGTAAAAGAAGAGGAAGCCATCGCCCATCGCCGTGATGCACCTGCCTCTTTTTTGGAGTGTGTGTTTGCCCCGTCTATGGACCAAACGAAAAGATCTATAGGTTGAAAAGGTTGTTGATCACTCTGGATCCAAACTGTAATGCAAGGTGCCCCTGTGGGGTGTCTCTTCTTGGAGGCGATCCGGAACAACATTTCTTCTCCCTGTGAATATTGTTTGCTGATGGTTTTTGTGGATTTACCATACAAACTATTATGATGTACCAATACCCCCCAGGCCCCAAGGTAGCTAAGGTAAGAAGCAGAGGCAACTGTTTCAAGCGGTGCTCCAACATGTAGGGCCAAAAGAAGAAGGGGTTCCCTGAAAAACATCCGGAGCGGCGCAGCGGCAAAGTGACACAGCTGGTAAGTTGAACTCCGAAGAACTCCGAAGTCCAACTCGGTCTATCCCACTCAGTCTATCCAACTCAGTGGGTGGTCTTGAGATTTGGCCTTGAAAAGGGATTGAAACTCATCCACCACCCACACCTTTTCTTCCGCATGTTCCTTGTACCTGTGGGTTGGGATGGCCTTTGATGGCTTAGAACCACAGCCAATTCGTCACCAACATGCAGGACACCCACTCTTGCCACACCTTCTGCTGTCAGCCCGAGGGCCTTGGTCACACGGCAGAATCGAGGGTCCGGTTTTTGTCCGCATACAACACTAGATACCCCGGATGATAGACTGGGATACCTGTTTTGTAAAGAAAAACTGACACACACTGTGATGCACTGTGTTTCTTGTACATAAAATACACTGTGATAGCCTTGGATACATGTCCCGAACGCCGGGAGAGACTGTGTCGGTGTTCTTCGGTTGGAGCTGCTGAAAAAGGGTGTTGTACGACCGTCGCTGATTGGCTGGCTGGCTGGGTGGTTTCTTTCTTCAGAAATTCGACGAGACCGAGGCGTTTTTCTGAAAAAGGGGATGAAACACCCTAGTTCCAAGGTACGAACCGATCGACTTTAGGTATAAATCTTGAGAGACATTCGTTCGTACCTTCTCGTGGGACTGATGAAGGCCGGCATGTTTTTTGTGACATGTGGTGTTGTAAGCCTTGATGATCCATTATTCGCTGTTGCTTTGCATTGTTAGGAAGCTAAATTTCAAACAAACTTACATATAAATATATAATATATATATTTTTAAATTATATATATATGTATGATGAGTGCAGAAAAGATCAGATACTCTCCTGTCCCTTTGGGTTGATGGAGGAGTTCTTGGGAAAACCAAATAAGACCTTCAACAGACACAGTGTACAACTCGTAGTACTCACACAATGGGAGGTCCAATTCTGCAGGTGGTGCTGGATACTTTTCCATATTATTCCTAGCAAGAGTATGTTAATTATTTTGTTAGTTTTGAAGATTCATGAAGCTCATGCACGGTGTCCATTTTCTTGAGCCGGTTTCAGCGGCCCAGCCCATGGCATTCTCTGTGCGCTTCTCCGTCTCTTTTCTCGTGCAAAAAACGAGGCCTGGAGGGTGAGGTGTGCGTCGTGGAAGATGAGTCTTGCGAGGGCATGAGCATCGGCCGCTGCAAAGCCTGAGCGACACCGGGGCACGCGTCACCCGCGCGTGCGGCTCGGTGACGCACTGAGGCATGGGGCGGAGAATGTACGCAGAGTGGCTGTGTAATGTTAGGAGGAAGCTGGGGAAGGATGAGAACTGTTGGAGTACCAGGCAGCAGTGACATGGAAACCAGATGAACCATTATTTTGTGTGTGTGATGGGTGTGAACCGAAGTATTAGTGAGTATTTTTTTGGTGTGTGTGTGTGTTATTATATCTAAATTTATATGTTGTTATTATTCCATTTGTTTCTGGTCTCAACAAGCATACCCAGCTCTATATTTTTTTCCCTCGCTTAAGGTGGTTTTCATCTCAGTACACGGTCAAAACGGGTTGATCGGCGATGCTCATGAGGTTGCGCGCGTTCAACCTCTTTGCTGACTAATACCCAATTGATTGATATGCTTGATGTTAATGAGATTCTACCTCCCTGCAAACTGCATCACCTCCGGGGTTTGAAGTTTGATAGCCCCCAAACATGACACCCAGATGAGTGGAGCAAATGCCGGTGACGTTTGCACCAGACATCTCAATCTCCTCGGCGATCTCATGATCTGGTTTCACTGTGCCAACGTCTGTGCTTTTGGGCTCCCAAGAAAGGGTCGGGCCTTAGGAAGGATCGGCCACCAGCTACGCCCAGGTGGGAAACTCCAGGTGTTTCAGTCTGTATTCACAGTTTTCCAAGAAACCTGACGGGTTGAAGACGTTCTTTTTCACCAACTGGCTCAACAGCCCAGACACCCTTGGGGACCATCATCCGTGGTTGGGCCAGTTCATTTTTAGGCGCCTCTCAGGTCGGAATCATGGTCAGTTCCCCCCCACCCCACAGAAAACCATAGAAGGGTGATAGCCTGAGAGTAGAATTGTGTCATGAATCTTCAGCATCTGACTTTGACCAATCCCGGGCAAGTTTTTCCGCATGCGACTGCCATGAAATGGGCCCCATCCATGTAAGTTACTATTCCAGTCCGATGGATGGCTTGGGAATGCATGTTCTGCAAGACGGGATTGACAGGAACTCACTGTTCCATCTACCTCATACAATTGACAGATTGAGACATTGGCAATGAAGCGAAGCTTTTTGGGGGATAAATCTCGAGTTCTCTTTGAGGTGTCCCAATTCCCTCGGTTTTCCTTGCTCTGAAGAGTGGAGTTTGACATAGCTTTCTCGGCGAAAAACCATCCGCAGCTTTGGATTACAGTAAGGGGATCGAACTCCAAGAAGCCCAGCTCATTGTTTTGGTCCTTGCAATCACAATTGAGAGGAACAGAATGGGCAGCGACTGAGACAGGTTTTCCATCATCCAACATAAAGATGCACCAGAACTCTCCGGTCAGAGCCTTGGCCCAAAGCGCTAGCAGAGCAAAGGCTGAACCTGAGATGCACCCGACCAAACTGTGGCCGTGGTGCTCCTGGCCTTTGCACCAAAAGATGGGTCGAACCCAGTCATTTGCGGATTGGCACACCTCAGGCCATTGTAGTTCCAAGGGCCACCAAGCCAAGATCAGTTGAGTTGAGGCAAAGCTGGAAGATCGCGGTGGTTGGGTTTGACCCAAAGTGCATCAGAGAAGCAAGTTCGGTGATGGAAAAGAGCTGGATGGGCAGGATGCAATGCTAGGGTCAAAGAAGCATATTTGTTTTGGTTGTCAAGCTTCCCGCATCCTGGCTTTTGAGCGATTACAGCCTGCCTGCAATCACTATTGATGAGTCCTTTGATATTTGGTCCAATCTCTTCCGAAGAATATATAAGATCTCGCATAGCCCAACATGATCAGCTTCGGGCAAGTTGAAAGTGCCTCTAATTCTATTTCAGTCTGCTCATCCTCACCCTTAAACTTCTTGGTTCAGAGATTCTCAGTATACGCATGGAAAAAGAAAACCGAGTTTTGACTCCCAGGTTGCAACTTTCCTCAGATCAGAAGCTCCAAGACGGAATCGGTACGTGACGGATTCACCTCCCACTTCCTTCAGCGTAAAACTCCTTCACTTCGAGCAGCGCAAGAGTGGACCAGGGAAATGACACGATTAACCAACTCTGTTTCGTCTATGTTTGTTTGGCCCACCCTTTTTCAGTTGAAAAATAACAGACCGCGATTTCAAAGCAAAAAACACATATAACATAATCTAACGACCTATCAGGCAAAACCCCCTTCCACCGCCAGGAGCGCAAGCGCGAGGACTTTCAGGTCCGGAGAATACCGGGTCATTGTGTGCGCATGCACTATGTAATGTTTAATATACCCAGCAAGTCCAAAGGACGGGTTAAACTGGTGCGTTAGCATAAAGGACGCATTTCACCTCCCAACTTCCAAGACCTAATTTTCACAGGTTTTTCACGGCCTTTCATCCTGTTTTCATGGGTTTTTCATGTTTTTTTTCACGGCCTTTTTAAGCTTCCAGCCCCAGTTTTGCTAAAGCACCGGTTAAACTGGTGCGTTACTAAAGAACTGGTTAAACTGGTGCGTTGACCCACTGGGATATATAAGTTAAACACGACTCGCGAACCACACGACTCGCAGCTCCACCGGTCGTGCCAGTTTCCAGAGCTCGACAGCCCCAGGCCCCTTCCAGAGGAACCCCGGGTCCGGCCTCCTGTACGGAGGGTCCGGACTTCGCATTTGGGAAAGGTATAAGTATACTCTACACTATCCCAAAGGCTGTGGGGGGTCTAACCACCTTCTGAGGATATGGTTGGAGCCCTAGGGTGTATATACTCTACTCATAAAACTCAAACAAACAGGGTGTTCAGTCTGGTGACCTCGTGCTCCTCAAGAGGTCGCGAGGGTCAAGGTATAGGGGTCTCTTTGGACCACTGCTTTTTAAACGGTTTTGAGGCAGCTCAAGGCAACAAATCAGTAACCTGCACATACCAGTTATTGCAATGGTGTTTGCTGTATATTGTATACATTTGTATACAGTATACATTTGTATTTAGCTCTTGATACCGGGTCAACCTTCTTAGAATGGTCGAACGGAAAGTGAATAAGCTCGAAGGTCCCGGTGGTTTTTCTCGGTTTGGCCGAGAAAGACGGACGGCTCAGTATCATGACCAGTAGCCCGTTGATGCAGCTCAGTCGGTCCACCGGTGTGGGGTCGCTCCCCACAACGGCGGGAGCGAAGGGCAATCGGGCCTTCGTCCTTTGTGCGACTCCGTCCTTTGCATACTTTGGGTCTCTCCTATGACCAACGGTCCATAACGGATTGTCACTCATGGCCTTCAACTAAGCATCATGATCCACAGTTACTGGCAATATGAGATACCCAATGCATGCTGTGCGATCCTTGGTCACAACCGAAATTGGATCAGAGCTGCGTTCAGTGCATTGGGAGCATGTGGGATTGAAACTTGTCAGGGTCTCATGGAAGGTCTTTTCACAGAAGCAGGTGGGAAGGAGGAATCTGTGAACACCAGGATCGTCGGTCACGAGTGGTTCAGACTAAAACCATAAAAGCATCATATAGAGTCTGCGCGCGGGTGTTGTTCTGGGATCCGCGCCGGGTGTTGGGACCTGCATATGGTCAGGAGGGTCGGGACCGGACCTCCGCCCGCAGGGTGAAGCACGCACCGGGTCCAACAGACGACGTTCTTTCTACCGTAAAACATCGGCAAAACAACTTACAGTATACCAGGAGTCACATGTCGGGGTGGTGTTTAGTCCCATCCAGTGAGTGGAGTAGCTGGGCATTCCTAACCTCCATGGATCGCAGCCCTTTGTGACTGCTGGTACCTAAAAAAGAACACGAAAACCAACTGCCAAATATCCAAGAGAGGAACTTCCAAGCTCTGTCCGGATCGATCCACCCGGATCGATTCCCATCCGCAGAAGGAGACGAGGACGTTTTGTGCACGACCGGTCGTTCGGCTCGGGAACTCTCGGGTGGATCCCCGGACGTGTTGATGTTGTGCATCGGAATTGATGTTGTGTGTGTGCTACTTCGGTACCTTACTTGATGTGTCATCATTTGGTCCTCCCAATGGCCCTGATCTTGCCATCCCAAGAAACAGACAGACCGTTTTGGAGCTTCCGACTGCATGCAACATGGTGGCCTTTGCAGCTAGAACATGAGCCGAGTTCGGCAGACATGCTGCATAGTCGGAAGATCTATATACAATACCCAGATGCTCCATATGTGCCATATGTGCCTATAGGGGTGGTTTCGGGCGCCAATGGGGCGGCATATATGGCAGTCCCATGGACCGGTTCGGCGTGACCGACCGAAAGCCGTCGCGTGGCGCCAGCCCCGGTGTCAGGATGCCCCACCTCTTTGCGAGGCCTGGGATTTGGAACCATCGTCTTGCCAGGGGGGGAGAACCCTAGAAGCGTCCCAGTCAAATGGCAAACAACCGATTCATGCTTAGTAAAGGATCCAGGGAATGGATCAAGACTCCAGCCCATCTTCCCCAAGCTTTAGACTCCAGGCAGAGGCAGTTTTGGGATTCGCCTCGCAACGCCCCATCCGACAGTCCAACCAAGACAGCCCGCATCTGGCCGCTCGACGTTCGACGGACGCGGCGCGTTCTGCTGACGTTGGCCTCCAAGTCGACGTCTCCCGGGGTCGAAGGTGGTGGTGAGGAGGTGGGCCAGGAGCCCTAGGGTCTATAAACCTCCAACTACCTGAGCCGGACTTACTTCGGTCGTCCTAATTACCCAAAAGAGAATAGGCCGTCTGACCCGAACAAAAAAGGTACGACTGACTGCAGGGCCTCCCATTTTCCCGAACTGAGACTCCAAGGCTCCAGTTAATATAGCCCTACAAGTCCAGTCTGACCCAGTAAAAAAACTGCTTTTTACCCTTAATGTATTGGTTTTGTATGACAATCTCCAGTAAAATGAGGTCAAACTGGCTTGCTAATAATATAGCCTTAGCATGCCTTAGCTGTGTTTCTTTCTTTTGGGGGTCACGTCCCATGATTCTTCGGGTCTGAGGCGCGAGTTGTCATGCCACCAGGAGCATGCATGGACTATCCATGTAAGACTCGTAAGACTGTTTGGCAGGGGAGTGCACCGACCCAGAACTACCCAGAACCACTCACGCCAAAATACCTCCTTAAAACTCCAAAACCCAGCAGGTTCGTCATCACAGCCCCAATAAACAGCTCCAGGGATTCA